GACTGTTCTGTGCAGGGTCAAGAGTTGGACTTTGGTGATCCTTGTGGGTCCTTTCCAACTCAGGATGTTCTATGAGTCTATGATTCTTCTGCAGGGTCAGTCTGGCTTCAGTTGGTACCTGTTTCTCTGTTTGCATAACACAGTTACCATTCCCTTTATCCATAACTTGCCTTACATGAAAACCAATAGCACTGTGCCAATGGATTTCATTCAGCAACAGTCAGAAGTAGTTAATATTTTCAATGCTTTAATGTATGAAAGCAGAAGTTCTCTGACACCATCAGTGGCTTTAAAAAAATGAAGGTGCAGAATTTTTGCAGACCCAACCAAATATTTGGTCTGCTAGTCTGAACATTTTCCTAGTTTGAAACACAGGTTGTACATTTTAGCTGCTTTTAAAATCAGTGAGATTGCTAGCTTCTCCTTGTTTATTCCACCAGCTTATATGTTATTTCAGCCTCTAAATACAAGAGGATAAAACAGCTGATGAGTTTCCAAATATGACATTTCCCTAGCAGTCAAATGCTTATAGCCTTGCTGCCTTTTTCCAACAAACATAAAAGTGTAAAGGCTCAGATATCTGTACAAGTTACCAGATAGGAATAAACTGCCTGTGTGGTCTTCTGCTGACACATCTAATTCATTTTTCTTGCTCCTGAGCTGGGTGAATTGATGCTGGACTAAACGTTATGTCAATGTTAGTACTACACTGTGACTGACCTCTTGGCTTCCTCCCTCCTTAGGTACTCAATCTCTATTTGCAGCATGAAACTCAGAGGCTTTTAATGCTTTCTATGTTCATGATCAGCAAAGACATAAGCAGGATGAAGATGATAATTTAGTCTGCCTGCAGATTTGGAAAGATATTACAGTGGCTCCCTTTTAGAAGATTGTCTTCTAATCTCAAGAGATTAGAAACTGCATTGCTTTTAAAATGAGTGAATGAATTTTTTACATTCTGAAAACAAAAACAAAAAAAGCAAAAAGCCAAGCTCTCATATGTCAGAAGAAAAGAAAGAATGGGCTCTGGGAAATGGATGAATGTGTGTTTCTTCACAATAAAGTTACTTTCCAAATATATCAAAACGCAATTGTGTTTAGGCACCTCCTGAACTTTATCTTGAAAGGAGCCTAAAGGATTTTACAGAAAGATTGCAAGTGAAAGAATGAATGGGGAAGAAAGCACAAGGCAAAAGGAGCGGTTATCTTTACTCCCTTTATGCTCCTTGTACTTCTAATCACTTGATAATCATCTGAACCCCGTAGTTCAGCTCCAGTAACTCACTATTCCAAACACTTCAGCTGGGTAACTTCATCCTTCACTCATTTCCCGTTCCTTGCCCTACAGAAGCTATATAAGCTCTCTGAGGGTTTTGCTGGTTACAGTCCGTGGTTTGTAAGCTACAAAAATCTAAATGTAGGTCAAGATGAGTTGAAATCTTTTAAACACAGCCAGTTG